CGTTCCACAGAACTCTTGTTTAAAACAGCTGAATTATGATTTATGTCTGTTTCAAGCAAAAATGTTAAATAACTTTTTAAGTAAGTGTTACTGTTCATGTTTTGTAAAACATTAGCAGGGCAATGAACACCAGAGTAAATGAATGAGGGTAACAATTGTAGGTATTATAATGCACTTAAAGATTACATTATGAAAGAAAAGCGATGAGCATTTAATTTGTTTAATTTTTCCCTCCAGCATTCTGAATTTTTACATTCCCATTTTTTGTTAGAATTTATTGTCCTGGTCCCATTACCTGCCACCTTTTGGGCCCACAGCAGTAGATGAAAAACACAAAAAGCAAGATTTTTAAAATGAGTTGTTTCTCTGAATCCCACCAGAGGAAGAGTGCTGAGGGATGCTGCTGATAAACTTGAGATGGACACTCACATTCACACATCATTGCCTCAGTGGCTCAGTTTGAGTACAGAAAGTAGTCATTTTGTTACCACTGAAGACAAAAGGCTCTTATATTTAAAACAAATTTCAAAAAATATGTAACAAAGCTTTATAAACATATTTATTCTTGCAGGTTTGTGGGATGTGTTTGAATTTACTCTTATATATGTGCATTTGTCAACTAATTTATTTCTTTGCCAAAACAGAGAGGAGCAATGCCCTCCTTCCTGCAGACAGGCCCCTGTCCATCACTTGTGAACACCCTTGAACTCCACTTGAGGCAAAAATTGTGTTTTGGCAAACACTCTTTAAAATAAAGCTTTATATCTCTTTTAATTTTTCATTACACATTTATTACATAGATTTATAGCCGCTTTCAGGCACAAAAAGCATCTGCAGCTGTACCACTTCTGATGTAGTTAGTGGCACTTCCTGCAGGAATATCAACATATTTCTGACAGAGCAACTATATAATGCAAAACTGACAATGGTGTAAAATTTGTAAATAATTATAATAACAACATTTGGATTAACTGCTATAAAATTGTGAAAAAATGTGGTTGTCTAAGTAATTGTTTGGTTTTATGTTGTATTGTCTCTCAGCCATCATTATACTTTAATAAAATTAGTTTTCAAAGGTTTATGCAGAGGTGCTATCTAGGAGTGAAACCAGAGACCAGAATCGGAACCAGAAGCCAGGCAGGGATCATAACCTCCTTCCTGGGTCTTTTTTTCTCAAACAAACCTTTGCTGCTCTAATCCAGTGTTTACATTCGATGCTGGGCAATAATGATAGCCATGAGACCACACCACGGTCCTATACATCCCCTCTCCCCCAACCGCCCCCGCCGCCTCCACTGCTAACCTAAAGCTGGTTCACAGGAGCCAAATACCTTAAATACATAATTAGCAGGGTCATTTGTGCAAAGTGGGCCCCAGCGAGGACATGAGCACGATGGTGTGAGTTTGTGGGGGGCAGAGGGAGGATACTGAGTGAAGCAGGGGGGGAGGATATGAAGAAGTGAGAGAACGGCGAACAACAAAGACGTGCATTCATTGCTGTGGCCCCAGACAAACTCGGCTACCGCCATCTTCAAAGGCCACCTCTGCCTTTCCTCAAAACCCAGAGGCCACAGGTTGGGGCAGAGAGGAGAAACATAACAGGGTGAAGTCGGGGGGAAAAAACAGAGGGGAGGAAGGTGGAAGGATGAAGGCGAGATCGCTATCGTGAGAGGGAACCAGTCACGGTTAATTCTGTTGAGGTTTTACTGTAACTTCTGCATCTAGATAAACAACTTCATCAAAAGAGCTGAGAAGTAACTACAAAATTTAAGGATGACTAAAGGTTGGCATTTAATTTAAAACTTTTCACTTGCAATAGCATCAGCACAGTCTCTGTAAAAATTCCAGTGGGCCATGTTTCACACCATGTTCACCATGTTTCACCTTCTCTGTCATGTTCGGATGTGTGCACAGTCACACACACATTTGCAGATGCACATCACAGACACAAAGCGAAACATAAAGCCTATTCAGCTGCTCTGTTCGCACCTTGCCCGACCCTTGTGCCTCGCTCGTATTGTTTATAAAAGCATGTCCACTTAAGTGCTGACCTGTCTGGCCTCTCTTGCTGTGGTGCCGATTACCCACATCCTGAGTTCGCTCTATTCCTTCTTTTCTTCATTTCCCCCCTCCGGCTCTATCCCATTGCACTCTCACTCCTCGGGGTGCCCCCACCAAACCTCCCCCCCAACCTTTTTCCTCACCATGACAAGTTGCTTTCTTTTCCCTGCACATGCTAAATCCTTACTTGAGTCCTCTCCCCATCTTTATGTATAAAGCTGTGCATGTCAGATAAAAACAATAAAATAAATCAAACCTCTGCTCTTCCTTTTATCTTTACGTTTTTCACTTTATCCCCTATTCTGCTGGCTGGACGATTGCTGTCTCTCTGATCTGTTCTTTCTTTCATGTTTTTCCTTTCGTTATCTGGCTTCCTACTGAGGTAATAAGATGGGTATATAACTGGGAAGTGCAAAGGAGAAGAACTTTCATGTCCCTTAGCCCTGGGATTAGGATGAGCTGCTTGGGAAAAGCAATAAAGCCCCATGAACCTACTGTCTGGTGCTGCTGGATACTGAAGTAAAGCCCAGCTTCTGCTTGCCCTGCAAGCCTACAAAAGCTCATATTTCCTTTAAACACCACCCTAATATCCAGCTTCTAGTGTGCCTACGGCAGCAGAGCTTATTTGTGTACATGTTAACCAAACATTAAAAACTCTGCAGAAGGGTTTTCTGGTGTAGATGGTCCAGCTAAGCTTTACTTTGTTTCTGATCTTCAATCCTATATTTTGATCAGTTCTTTATTTCCAATTTGAATGTCCATTTAAAAAAAAAAATTATACCTTTATTCATCCTAAAATAACATCCTTTAAAACACATGGGACATAACATTCAGTGAACAATTTCACAAACAGAAATACATTTATTGTTATAAACATAAATATATAAATTATGATTGCTGCTTTCTTTATCCAATGGAAGCTTAAGAAAGAATAAGAAAGGCTTAGTGATAGCATAAAGGCATGTAATATTGTCTTCAAATAGCTCTAAGCATGGTCCCAGATTTATTGAAACTATCTTGCATTTCCATAATTTGAGGAGTGTTGAAATATCTGCCTTGTAAATATATAAATACAGCATCAGACCTCTTACTGTGTGAAGTCATGTCCACAAATCAACTGAAGGTGACGCAGCCTTGTTTCAGTCAAACATGACATTTGTTTTTCTTTTTCCTTAGAAGACAGTTGTTCCCACCTCGGCTTCATCCATCCCTGTTATAGGAACTGGTAAGGAAGTAGTTGCTTTGTTGGGGTGTGGGGTCAGGCCAGTACAGTAATGCTTTCAGATCACCTCAGTGAACTCATCATCATCTGTCTTGATTGTAGGTGGCTGCATAAAGCGAGAGTCCCTCCACAGGGTGGAGTGATTTGTTCTCCTGTCAACAGGGGAGTAAAGCCTGACCAAACAAGGAGCCCATTCATGCTGTTTTCGATTTGCTTTGCTCACTCATTCACTCTTTAAGGTGGACTTTGCTCTTTAAGTCTTTAAGGCACAGCGCATGTGCTTCTGAAGCTGACTGGGTGGACCTCTTCCTTATCAGTGATAGAGATATGCAGGAAAACAGCCTCATGGAAATTGGGTTTGAACACAGTCACATATGTATCTTTGGAGTTAGTTTTGTGTTTTTTTGAACAAAAAAAAAAGTCAATCAAAACAAATTCTGCTGCACTGTGGAAAAAAAAAATCACTGCAATAAAGAATTTGCGGAAAGCTTTAAGGTTTTACTTCTTGTTGAGTAGGTCATGTGACCGAGACTATTGACCAATGTCAATCAGAGTGACGCCATGGCAACAAGCAGAGTTTTTAAACAAAAGGGGTGAGTCAGTGGAGAAAACAACGGGAAGGAGACAAGAAAAAATGAATCTGCAGGTATGCTTACAAGTTACTGCCGTCTCCACTCGAATGTTATTTTTGGGCAGATTTTTTTAAAAGTCTAATCTTGGCTGGCATGTAAAGACACTGCCGGTCTATTCTACCTGAGAGAATTCAGCTCAACAGAGAGGAACACTATTAAAACCACACGCAAAATATTTAGTAGTATTCAAATATGGCAGATTTGCATAACTCAACAAAAATTTGGGTTTAAAAATTAAAATTGCGAAGCAGATTTTTGGAAATATTTGCTTCACGTTTTTTTTTTTACAAAAACTACGTGCAATAGGGCATGTTTTGATTTGGATTCATAACACGATGACACAAAAGTAGCTTATCTTATATTTCACCGTTATTTATGTAAATTTGTGTTACCACAGATTTTTATACGCTTACATGACGGACATCGATACACTCTGATGTGTGAATGTTTGGGTGAAATGTCACTTGCTCCATAACTTCTCAGCACAACTGCAGCATAAGGCACAGTGTTCAACAACTGAATGTGAAGTTTTCATGTCTGAGTCACTCTGTCTCCTAAAATCATCTGTTCTTTTCAGAGCTGTGATGCAAACAGGTCAACAAACACAGTCAGCCATTTTCTAACTTGTCTAATCCACCAGTTGCTCAAAATTTTCCTTTTTCTACCAATACATTAAATGCAGAGATTCAACCACAACAACAACAAAAAAAAAAAAAAAAAAAGAAAAGGAATAAAAAACATAATTCTTGCTTGGATATAAGTATGCATAATATATTTCTTAACAAAAATAAAGCATCTTCCTGTACTAACTCTCATATCTTCTCCCTGCACACAAATATCCAAACCATATGCAAGACATGACATTATTCACATATACTGCAATATAATATGAAGCATGGTTGACAATACAAAAAGGATGAAAAATTGACACTGAGGTTGTGATAATAAATGCAACAAACTAGACCAAACAGAACACTTGCAGGTCTGCAAAATCTAAAAAAAACAAACATTTTTGTCCTTTCTTGAACATTGAATGGGACAAAGACAAATGTTGAAACATATAAATAGTTTGTATGAAGCGGCACGTCCTTTTTTTTTTTTTTTTGGTTCTTTTTTTTTCAATATTTACTGTACATAGCAGGTGGGCAAAGTCACAAACAACCAGAAGTCAAGAGTTTTGAAACTTGAATTCTCTCCAGCTGTTTTTCCACTTGCATGGATTTTATATCGCTCTTTCCTTCTTTCTTTGTGTGCAAGAGTCATTGAAATGAAGCAGCGTCCTTATGTTGCATCAGAGCACTATTCCACTGAAGTGTGATCCAACAGTTCAGTGGCTGCTTCAGATGAATATACTTTCAAACAACCTTTGTTGACAAGTTCATCACCACTTCATTAGTCATCCTCTCCCACTGGCCTTTTCCTGCTCGCTCTGGGCTCTGTGGCAGCTTCTCTTTCCGCTTTAATGAGCAGCACAATTCAGTTGCCATAAAGACAGTCGTCATCACTGTGTTTTGAAAGCACCTTTGGCATCTTGTTTATTTTTGTCTATTTTTCAGTTTCTTTACAGAAATGTTTATGTTCTTAAAGTCTGCATGGCTTTGAAGAGGAAGACAGTGACCGTGCCTTCTTGATGGTGTCTTCGGTTTTAGGTCCTGTCCATGCTAAAATCCCTTGTGCTGAATGGTCTCACCTCACATCTGCTGCAGGACAGAAAGACAAGATTAGTTTCAGAAATGCAAAAATATATATTTATCTTAAAAAATTTAATGAAAGACGTGATTTTCTGTACTTGGAGACCAAGTTATAAATTCACTCATGCATTTTCTTGACAAAACACACACAAAAACCAACAGCGTTGTGATTTATGTCCCTCCAGATTTTGCAGATTTTGGGCCAACCAGACAATTATGCCAGAGTTTTGTGTGTGTGCACAAAGTTCAAGATGGCACAAAGAAGACCGTTTTGTGTTTCAAAGAGTGCTGACAGGTTGATAACATGAGGGAGAGCAACAGCAAATAAAGATGGAAAGGTGTATTTAAAGAAGTGAAATAATATGAACTGAATAGCTTTAGTTAAAAAAACAAACAAGAAGTGCAAAGAACAAACTGCAAGCTGTGACACAGATCTATAAAGTGTGCATGCTCAGAAGGTCAAAAGCACAGCATGCAGCAGTGGCAGCAATGGCACATGGAGCGTGATACTTGTTTGACCCTCCTCTTCTCACACTGATTGGCTGCGGTGTGATTGGTGACGGTGATTGGCGGGCCCGCTTTACACTCTAATTGGGCCAGTGCAGCACCAAAAGGTGACAAAAGGCTTCGGTGCTTGAGTCCTACCTGTTCCCATCACATCCTCCCAGTGGACATACGAGAGCAACTTTACTATGTCACCAATAAGTCCTTGGTGGGTCTTAGCTTTTTAGGTTTCCTTTTTTTACCTTTAGCCCTACGATAGCCTGAAAGCACAAAGTTGGGAAGGGTGGATAGGAAGCAGGGTTAAAAGCAATAAGCAGGGTTTACAACACATAAAGAGGCCCACCAGACCTGGGACAGAAGCAGAGAGTGCAAAGATATAACAGCATAAATTCTTCAGGTGCCTTATCAGCACGCATTACAGCGCTTATCTGCACCCAGGTGGAGAAAAGCTGCAGATCAAGGCACAGGCAGATTTACCTGCTGTCATGCCAAACTGCCTTTGAACACCCGCCCTTCACACACACATTTACACACACATTCTCATCAAACACACAAGCTTTACAGTTCCCAAACAGTGGACCTCTTCACAGGTGTTTGTCTGTTTGGGAGTATTTGGTGGCAAAGGGTCATACGGTGCAAAGTCATGAAGCAAGACTCAAAGACCATCAAACACGGATGATAAAGGCAGGAAAGAATGCACAGGGACAAAGAGGTGAAGGCGAGATTCAGTCGTCAAACTCAACTTTGAAGCGAGTTTGTGTTTCGGGGGGTGGGGGGAGGTGATGCTGTAACATTAATCAGCATGTGCAGAAAATCCAAGCTCATATGTACCTGTTTCTGCATCTAAGTGTTCTACCACATGATGTTGTGATGTGCACACACACTCCAGGTGGTCTTCTAACCGCACAAAAACCTCTTTGAGCTTGGGCCTTCTCCTCACGTACTCCACCTTGGCTACCTGGAAGAGGAAAAAGGAAAAGGTTAGCTACAGGCACGAGCACATTTACCATTTTCTGTGTTGTCAATGAATGCACACATTATTTGCCCACCAGCAACCATCAAAAGAGGCAGCTCTGTGACTGATGGCACATCCATAATGTAATTCATTAAAAAAAAAACCTGTTGCTTTGCCTTGTTATGTTTGAAGTGTGACGAGAGCACTCCTCTGAGGCTGATTCATTAGGTTTCACTTGTTGTGTGCTCTATGGTCTGTAAGCAACTGAAAGGAGTGTGTGTCCTTGTCTAAGCAATGGAGGAGGAGAGATGGAGGGCAGGGTGAATGTTGTACACCCTAAGGTCCTGGGAAGGTTTACTGTGGAGGAAGAAAAGAAACTGGGAGATCCCCCTGCTCAGGCCTGAAGCATCCAAATCCAAACAGACACCTAAACTCGTTCACCTTGCCCTAACATGTTGAGTTTAAATTATCACACTGCATAAGTTAAGGAAAGTTCTGCTTTGCATGCATGCAAGAAATGTATTTGGTCAGTATTAGGCAGTAAAACCACAGGAAACAATCTTAGAAACACAAAAGCAAAATGGGAATTCCTCACGTCCCAGGTAACACAGTGTAAGCCTTAGAATTCCCATCCAAGAGCTGGTAATAACTCCTGAGGGTTATGAATACGCTAAGCTTCTATCAACAATACATGACTGATTAAGACTTAGATAAACAGATGGAGGTTGTATAAAAGCGGTGATGGTATTGTTGTGCAACTCATGGGAGGTAGCCACATGTCTTTGCCTCCCTGATTTGAAGGGCAAAACTGAAGGAACCTGGGGCCACATAGAAACAGTATCCTCAGATTCACCTATCCCTGTCACTGCATGAGAAAAAAAAAAGATATTTGCAAACAAACTCCCAGCGCACTCTGGTTGGTATTATGAGCAACACAGTTTGCAGTCCGAATAAAACAAACACACACACACACAGTGATGAAAAGCTTTCTTTCTCTATCCCATAATGGCATACTGCCAATCTTGGCTCTTGTTGGAGAGCCAGCCATGCACACAAATCAACATACCAGTCCTTTTTTGATATAACAAAGTGTACAGCTGAAATTCACACAAAGAGAGAGGAGCTTTGCAGCGGCTGCAGGGGGGATCTGGTGCAGCTGGAACTCAGGTAAGAAGACGCGAGTAGCGAGCAGTTTTAACATCCACTTCTTTGAAACAGTTTTTAAGCTTGGAGAAAGGGACACAAGAAAGGGAGTGAAATGAGGATAAGCAAGCAGTGGAGGTATGTGGTGAGCAAACAGAAGACAATGGTGTCTGGGTTATTGGTGATGTTTGCTGTTACCGGGCCATGAAAGAGAAGGAGAGCGGGTGAAAGGCCAGAGTGAGGAAGAACGTAGAGTTGAACCTCCATTCTCATTAGGGAACACAGACGTGTGTGTGTGTGTGAGTGTGCACGAATAGAGGAAGTTATTTAAGGACGGGGACGCGTGACAAACCATGATCATGACTTGCATTAGGTGGCGTTCATGTGTTACCTATTAACATCTAGTTTCTGGGTTACCTACTAAATAGACTGGTTAAATTAACACTGACGTGATGGAAGGAAAAACAATATTTATTGTGATTCACTGAAACCACACCAAGCATCACCGAGTGGCACGAGTTTCTCCAAAAATCGCTGCCAATATTTAATCAAATTATCCGCCTGGAAAGAAGGAAACGGGAGGAAGAGAAAGCAGGAGATGAAAGATGCAGCTGTTTCAGTGGACAGCTCTGCTGCTGTTGGTTACGGGAACGTCTGGGTTGAGGGGGATCCAGAAGTTGCCAGCAGGAAGCAAAGAAAGACCGAGCCATGTCTGACCCTTACTGCTGACACTGATCCTAATGACTAACACACACAAAAACTCCTGTGGAAACCCAAACAGCTATTGACAGAGGGATGAAGCAGTAGGTTCACTTGATGTGAAGTCCAGCGGTGCACTTGTCTCTCACACAGCAGGGTGGAAAACGTTAGATACACCCACTCATGATAATTTACATCTAATTGTGTATGTCAATGCAGTTATGTCTGTTTTCTGAGTTTTATAGAGGGAGGCCTTTTTTGTATACATTTACTACTTGTTTTACAGTACATGTATTTTGCTGCTTCTTAAGACCTGCTTCCAATGTCACACAGTCAGTGACTTAAAACATACATCAGAAATAGACCCCCAATGCTACGACAAGGGGCCCCTCACTCTCTTTGTATAAATCAAACTGCTCTAAACTCCCTGGAAAGCCAGGGGCCCTGAGAAAACGTCTCCTGAGTGGTTGTGGAATGATATCCGATCCAGAGGGTTGAGGGGGGTGAGACATGAGGCTCTGGGAAGCACACCCCCTTTGGTCTGTCCTCAGTGTCACCACAACCCTTCTGTGTGAAGCCATTTATCCAAAGTCAGGCTAATTGGGAATTCCCTGAGCTCAAAACACTGATGAGAGCGTGAAGGAGGGGAAAGTCTTGCACTGGACTTCCAAGTAAAACACAGCGGGGATGTGGATGTGCACCGCGGGCCATGGCAAGCTGGAGCAGTGACAGAACGGAGCAAAAATAAATAAAAGTGCATGTTTTCAGAAGAAAGGGGCGGGAAGAGGCACGGTGAGGTCACATTTCATCTTTCATAAGGGAAATAAAGCTACAGAGACACTCAGTGTTTATTACCCAGACAAGAGGAAAATTGATGCTTTGTGCATTTGTGTCTTTCTACTTGCTAGAAAATTAATCTTAAAAAAAAAATTACATCAAGAAGAAACCGGTGACAAGAGGCAACCTGTGTGTGAATTTTTGTCTAAAACAGCTTCGTTGCCAGAAGGCCCTTCATGGTGCCACATGTTTCTTTAACGCCCACACATGTAACAGTTTATCTCTAATGAATTATCATATGTGCTCCTTCTTTTACAAATAAATATACCGGTAATAGACTCTTAAAAACTTTCCTCAGCATATTGACAGAAAACCAGAACTTCAAAGCAGACGTTACTGAGCACGAAGAAGTGAAAGAACATTATGAACAGGTTTTTAATGAAAGAGCACCAAAAAGATGAAGTAAATGGCAGATCCTTGACAGGGGGTTAAAATTAGAGAGTCGGTGTTTCAGGAGAGATGAACAGAAAAAAGAGGGAGTGAACAACTATTTTACACAACAGACAATCAGACTCCAGCACTGACGGGATCCGTGACCAGAGGAGATGGAGGATGATGTCAGTGGCACAATGCAGGAGGGAGGACAGAAGAGGGGTGAGACGAAAAAAATACAAATTTATCAAAAATTCTTAAAAAAATGTATATTCTGCCACTTTTTCCTTGCTGCGGATACATTCCAGCCGCTGCTGAAGTAGCCAAGCTTCTCAGGCTTCTGGCTTGGTCAACACACTCCCATGGTCTGCAACCTGCTTCCCCCCCCACCCAGCAAAACCCCCATCACATCCCCTCCCCCCACACACATACATGTTTAAAACACAAACTCTCTCACCCTGCTTTGTCCACTCGAAGTTGAGTGAATCAAAGAGAAAATAATTCACAGCTGCAAGGAACTTCAAACAACGAGGCCCCTCACTCCCATCTGACCCCCCCACCCCCACCCCATCTCTCCACTATGGTCTTCAAATGATCATAAATCATTCTCACTGTATCACCACCACACTTTTATTTATGAAACACCCTGTATGTCAGGGTCTCTCACAACCACAGGGGTACAACTTCCACTACCCCCCAACACTCTGACGTGACCCTCTGTTGCAGACATAGCAGCATGTATGTGTGTATGTGTGTGTGTGTGTGTGGGGGGGGGGGGGGTCCAAGCCCAGTACTGGTGATGAGAGATGTGTGGACCCCCACACTCAGCGCTGTGGCTATTTCCGCCTGGCCTCTGTCATCCGCCACTTTGATCCAGTAGCCATCAACACTTCATTACTTTGTGGCTTGTCTTCCTCCTGCTGCAGCTTCACACAAATGGCCTCAGCCTGGTTCTGTGGTTGGGAGAGTTTACGCAGTGAAGCATCAAGTACTAACTCTCATTACCTCACAGTTTCACACACACACACACCTTTACTGTGGTTTACACAGATGTGCCTTAATGACCCTCTACGACCTCTGCAAAATACTTGCTTTAAGGCCAATTAAAGGGCCCAAGATGGTAAAAAAAAAATTAAATACGATAAACTAAATAGTAATGATTTGCCAAAACCAATTATCATAGTTTAAAGCATATAATGCGCATGATGAGGGCTGGTCTCATGTTTTGCTGCAATATGGAGTTAAAACATGAACAAATATCAACAGTTTCTGATCCTTTTTTCCAGAATAAATGTATGATTCTTGATAGTTTTTGATGCTTCCCTTTATTTTGATTATGCTGCCCTGGATATTTTTTTATTTTTATTTTTGTAAGATGTTAAAATAAACAGTTTAAGAAATGCAGACATGATGTAGTCCACAAGTTTATTTAGAAGTGTTCTATAAGACCTCTGTCTTCTTTGTTTCCCTCCCTGTTCTCTTTACTTCCATGTCTTTATTTTTTATGACATAATCAGAATGAAATGGCTGCAGGTTGCTTATCTTTACACCTTTTTTCTCTTGTGTCCTTTTAAGCACCCAGCTTACAGATATAACAATCTAAATGCCATCTAAACAAACCAAAAATGAATTTAGAGGGGAAAGAAGATAATAACAATAATAATAATAATAATTATTATTATTATTATAAATAAAAATATTAATAAATGGATGTTAAAGTCTGTACCCTGTTCCCTCCTTAGTCTTGAGCAATTTAACGGTTCTATTTTTAAATGGACACTTGTACAGAACAGAGCCTGCACAGACTCATTCTGTATTACTGGTCCTTAAAAGCAAATACATAAAGAGAGGAGAGCCTATAAATAGATACAAAACAATCTTGATTTGTACAAATGGACAGCGGCAGAATTTGGAGACAACAGTGTACATTTCTTATTGTATGATGCAGCAGAAAAACAAAGTCAGGCTCAAAATAGTAAGACAGCATTTTTAGCTTTCTAATAAATAACAGAAGTAATTGATCCCCCATTCAGACTGAAGACCCTCACTGAAGACAATCTTACACACAATGTGGTGAATTTCTTCAGACCATTGAAAGCCATAAGGGATGACCTTTCCTCCTTATACAACGCCTTTCAGCCTTTTTGCCCGAGGCTACAAGCACATGGAACAGAACGCTCCCCCTCCCGCCCTGAACCCCTCCCAATCACCCCCAAATATTCCTCTCAAGTCTGTGTGCTCATTCAGCCATCAGTGTCAAGAAGGGGGCACAAACAAAGCTGCACAAAGTACAACATTCCAGGAATCATTGAATCGAGCCTTTTTAGTGTCGTGCATGCAGTCGTCAGTGTCTTTCCATCCCTCCTCATCATTGCAGTCACAGACAGAGCTCCTATTGAGGACAACGCACACCAACTGTCTGGTGGACAGAGAGACTGCTGCAGACAGACTGGCACACAGGATAGTCAGAGTTTGAGTCTCTCACAGCATCATGAGTTAGCTCTCTGACCAAAAACCCCGTTTGCAAAGCCTTATGCCCTAAAATGACATTTTCATCAGGGCTTGCCACCTCATATGTCCTTAATGAAATCTCCCCAGTTTGTACCAGAATGCCAAGAACTGGCATTTGTTTAATCACTCTGCTAATTTATAAGGCAGAAATCTTTAAAGTACTGCACGAGAGGCAAAAATAGCACTCAGCCAGTACCAGTGACTGGACAAGATCACAGTCTGTGACGATGATTAAGTGTAGATATGGACAGAGAAATACAAACACACTCAGAGGGCTATCCTGTTTATGTCCTGGTTGTCTCCTACTTTCACAAAGCAGAGCAAATCATTCCCGTACCTCAGAACAGGGCTCTTACCAGCCAAACAGCTCAAGTGTAAATACATCAGCAACTCACCACCTCTAGTTACTGCAAATTCTCTGATCCTTAACAGAGAGACATGCTTTCAAGGAAGCAACACCAAGGGCCCCAGTTTCTTTCTCATTCTCATTGTCACATTGTCTGTTCTGGGCACAATGCTTCCAGAATAAAACAAAACTAAAAAGTTGCACAGCATCCAGTGACACTGAGACACTCAAGATCCAGGATTGATTCACCTTGACATTTACTCTTTTTTTCTGTGTTTCTTATAGTTGTCAGGGACTCATTACTTCAGCAGATGGCCAGGCTAAAAACACCAATAATCATCTCTTCTCTTATTGTTTACCCATCTCCTCATCTCTCCCCCCCCCCCCCCCCCCTTGCTCTGTCCTGGCACAGCCATCTTAAACTCTTGTCAAACAAAACAGAGAGTACTGGTAATGGTAAAGGTAGGTGGAGGTTATCAGTTTACATGGTATGGAATAGACATGAGCAGCAGAGGTTAGGTATAGGCAATACTTGAGAAAACGGACTCAAATAGGTTGATCGAGATGTAGAGTTGTAACAGAAAGGGAGCAAGACAGGTATTAAGATAACCATGTCTCACCTGATGATAGTGTATTTGTTCTTTGCAATAAATCAATGGTTTGCAGTGATTGTGTGTTAGGCGTACACGTCTTACCTTGACGGTGCGGTGGTGCTTCCGAGATGGGTGACAGCGCATGTTGCTGGTGTTGCAGCAGCCTGTGCAGCGCTTCACCTCCACACAGGGTGGCCATATCAGGAAGTTGGCAGACGTGGGATCCACCTGGCTCCTGGGGATCTCATAGATCACCGTTCGAGTTTTGCACGCTGCCGGGACTGCCTCCTCGACTGGAAAAAGTAGAACAAGTCGAGTTAATGCATTTGTTCTGCGTGTCAGCGTTTAGTAACGCTTTTTCCAACTGCAACCCGGCGTTGATGTCGTGCTGTAATCTGATCGTCTCACTCACAGCTGCTCGCATTCTTTCACTGCTCATTATTTGATGACTCACTTGATATGAGAAGTGTTTGTCTTGTCTCCGATCAAACCTCACATCTTTTAGGACTATTAACCAAACAAACTTTCCAAAAAGCTGATCTCATATCAACTAAAACTCTTAGAAGCATGGGAGATATGAAGAGAGACCTCCATTGTTTAACACCCTCACTCCAGTTACTGTTGCACAACTGGCCAACAAACCTTTATTTCAACTGTTGGGAAGTTACTGTAAATACTGGTGTCTGACCTTGCACTCATTAAAAGGGGAAAAGCAATAAGCATTTATTTAAAATGCATCGCTCTAACAGGCACTAAAGACAGTGTACAGTAAAATAATTATGCTATAAATGTGACGTGTCCATCATGCACAGAATGTGAGGCCTTTAGTGGACAGCTGTCAAAGTGGCATACTCTGTCATAATTCTATGATGCTGCGCACACACATGAAATACGAGCAGCCACTTCATCCCATGTTGCTTTAAGAGTCTTGCTGCTGGGAGAGCACAGAGGGAGTCCTAACATGCACACACGCTCTGCACACTACATGGTGTTCTCCGCACCTCGATCAGATATCGTACCGCGTGGCGTTTTATGAAGAAATCTGACTGAGAGCCCAGACAAGCTGCAACTTGAACCCTGAATGTCTGGAATTTCCACGCTTAGGGATACGTTTCTCTCTCGTGACGCGTGCATCTTAGCTCTTCATGCCTCGGGCCAATTAAAAGGCTTCGTGTCAGACGTCCTCATCAACCTCTCTCTCTCACACACACACACTCACCATCCTCCTTTCCCTTGATTTCTTGATTCCAAATAAATACCGAGTTGATGGGTCCATTAGGGTTTCTTTTTATGCTCTAAAAAGCAGTGTAAAAACCACTAACTAGTAGCTTTGTTTGAAATTAGTGCAAAGTGATCTGTTTCATCTTCATGGGAACTTCAGCCTTGCAAGTCATAGTTCACATGCAGATTATTATTATTAGAGCAGTTTGACACGGTGTGTGCCAAGTTGTGATGCTGAATGCAATCACGATGCATGCAACCTCAATCTTACCAATGCTCCTCTTGCGTCTGCTGTGGAGCTGCGAGCTCTTCAGTCCATTGTAGTAACTGTGATGATGAGAGAAGTTCTTATGGTGGTTATGGTGGTTGTGGTGCTTGCGATACTTGTGCTCCTCGATAACATCATTTCCCGTACCTCATCAAAAACAGAAGGACATTAGATTAATAATATGAAACACAAAAAGCTTATTTACCAAATGCGGCTACAGCAGCTTTGACACTGGTGGGATAGACCTCATCAAAAGATCTGCCGCTGATGCATTGTATATCCATTCCACAACAAACTATGTGTTAGTTAGTCCCACAATGACATGCTAACCTCTGACTGGTTTATTGTGTAATCTTGTATTCACTGAGGGGCCAACAGTTCACTTGAACTTGTCAGCACGGCAACTTCTGAGGAGTCACAAACTGAAGTAAACAGTCTGCAGAGGTAGGAAGCTTGATTTTTACACAGACCTGTGTGTAATTGTGAGCTTTATGTGTCAGCCTCCCTCTCTGACTTGGCTGAACTTTCTTAGCCAGATTAAAAGCAGCTAGACGCAGGTGAGTCAGCATGGACTTTAAAAAACAAGCAGCTTTTATAGACACACAGGACAGGTCACTTACCATTATTTCTGATCTAATTAGTGGCTTTGTGTCCCTCATTTACTGAAAATGTTTGCTTTTCAATCACTCAGTGGTTTGGGAAAGTACATGTTTTGCCATGCTGCAATGCTAACGTCTTCAAGCTTTCCCTCCAGAAAAATGTAGCCAGTTCAGCTTTTTCACATTCATGGTCATCTGATAATGTGCGCTTGTTTTGGTCCTTACCCAGAATATGAGGAGGATTGCAGAAAAAGTGCCAGAGTGGCAATAAAGTGATAAAGTTTGTCCCATAGCTCTGAGAGTGTCTGAGAGTGTTTGCGAACTGGGTGGGTCTAGCTGTCATTAAGCACAGCATTCCTGGCTCGCACAGTCCTATACCTTTACACTTCACATGAACACATGCTCACATTTGGACAAATTCATCTCATTATCCTTCATAGCATTGCTAAAGTCTAAAGTACACAAGCTCAACAAAGCTCAACCATGAGCAAACAAAGTCCACACATCCAGCTTTAACCAGAGTAATCTGAAGGGATTTCCTCTGCCAATACACAGTCCACCACTGGAATTGGTTGTTTATTTGTTTTTTGCTGTTCTTTTTCCCAGGTTGATCAGTCAGGCTCCAACGTAGTCCCTTCAGCAACAGGTTGAGGGAATTTCCTTCCAGTTTGCCATGCAGTCAATCAAGTAATCGGTGACCCAGAACCAAAAGGTTCACATGAATGGAAGTGTTGCCTGAAGCTGAAGCTGGGAATAAAGCAAAGGGCTGGGCTATCCATCATCCAGGCCAGTACATAAACATGGCATTCTCCAACGCATCCACCTACACTGTCTGTACACATCCTGTAAAGCTGTGAGACGTTCTCATTGCAATTGATTTCCTGATCTTACCAAGTGTTTTTTTTTTACACTGAATCATAAACTCCCAATGTGAATTCCTTGTTCTCATCCTTTACATCTATATTTTCATCTCCTTGTGTCAGAGAAAGGCAAGCACATGGAAGGATCTGATACTGTGGCCACCCCGCAAACAAAAAGAAAAGACCTAAAGGAGATTAGTTAACAGACTAGACCAGAGTCAAAGGATATGTCACAACTGCTCCACAAAAATGAGTGACGTGATTTTTTATGTAGGATGGTAAAGAGGAAAATGAGGAGAGCTGAGAGACATACTAAGAAAAAAAGGAGACAAAACAGCAGAGGAGTGGAGAGAGGGATTTGCTCTTCGCCTGGTTCCAGGTGACTAATAGATAATAACATGCCCAGAGCACTGAGACAAGGGAAAAAAGGACAGGAGACTGTCTCTTGCCATGAATCAGGCTTTCATGACTGGCAAATTACTGTCTCCATTAGATGAGGGCCTCAACTCCTTCTCTTTACTCCTCTCCTTCTTTCTCTTTCTGCCTCTTTGGACAAATGTTGACTTCTCAAAACAAGGATTGCTACCATTCCTCCTGGAACACTCAAACAGTTATCTGTCTCAGTTGATATATCTACGGTCTTACAAGTGAAAATGTGTAAAGACAGGTGAGAAGATCTGGCGTTAAAGCTGTCTGCTGGACAGGAGGTAAAAACTGTGTTGGCTCATCAGACTCAAAGCAGATTGAGCAACAACTTGCAACCTCTCAAGATTCCTCTGACTCCCTCCTCCACCTCTGCCCCCTTTGCCAAGAGTCAGGTTCCCTTTTCTGTCAAACTTCTTCACTGAAGGAGATAAGAGCAGGCAGGCAAGGGGCCAATTCAGGAGGGAGACAGGGACAGAGGCGAGGAATAACAAGGACAGGATCACCCCAGGGGCCAGACAGCCATCTGCAGGCTTCAACAAGGTCATCTCATCTGTCAGTCAGAGCTGAAGAAGGGGTCTGCGTGAAAACAAATGCAAGCCTGCACTGAGCTCAGGACTAACTGTAACATGGTCACTGTAAGCACCTCTGACCTTCTCAACCATGCTGTAACTTTCCGACTTCAACCTTCAGGAGTCAGACAATCATAAAGAGATACTTCAAAATAATGCAATCAGCTACGTTATTGACAAATTAATCAGACATTGGTTGATCTTTCTTGCACACACGTACTGAAGCTCTAAACAGATAGATCTACTTCTGCTTGCATGCTGGAGGACTCTGACTTATTCATCACCAACAATAGCTCTGAATATCTTTATGTCTGGTGTCAAAGGTCTTTAAAGGGCTGGCCAAGGCCACCAAGCTGACACCTCCTAGACAGATTTATGTGCTCATAATAATAATCAGTCTACTACGGTTACCCTGCAAAATGTTACTCTGTTTGAAGACAGACCTGTTAATTTGATTGTAAACACCTCTTCTCATGCTAGAGGTCTATTATGGGACTGGTGTGGGGTGATCACTGTTGTAGAGAAAAGATTGCTTTAACTGATGATGGAGAAAACATATTTTAGGTGTTACAACAGTTAAGTGAAAGATTGGTGTTGATGCTGCATTGTGAGATAAAATTTTGCAGTTGCTCAGGAGCTATAACCAGCCTGCATCAATTAGGACATTTAAATGCAGCAAATCTTTACAGAAGCTGGTACATGTCAGGGGCCTGTGTAAATAGAGGCTCATGAAGGCAAACAGCTTGTTTTAGTGAACTAATGTAACTTAATCTAAGACAAGTTTTCCACACAGGAAGCAACTCCTGCAGCTAAAGAAACTGGCTTCACCTGCAATGATGCCACTTTGTTTTACTTTTAGAACGTAGAAAGGTGTTTGGTGCAACAAACAAGCAGATCAGAAGAATTCTGCAGCCGAAATGATGTCACTGAAACTCCAGGTCACGTATTAACTGTAAAATCACCTGCTCCTATTACTTAACCTCAAATTAATAAAAAAAAAAGTATTTTGTTCATATTAGTCATAATATGTCTGAGGTATTTCCAAAGAAGCTGCAGTTCATCAGAACAAGATCAGTGATTTTGGGGGCTCCAGTCTGCTGGGAAGAGTATCAAGAGGCAGAATTTACCTACGGAGTCTATCTCCAGTAGCCGCTGGAGGTCGCTGATGCTGTGGATTTCACTGTTAGAGAGTCGGTCCAGCAGCTCCTGGGGAAACTCGGCTTCCTTCGGGGGGGGGGGGGGGGGGGGGGGGGAGAAGATAAAGAAATCAAACAAGAGGAAATGTTTAGAAATGTGTGTCTGGTCAATAGGAAGTGTTTGTGTAATTAGATCAAACAACCCTGAAAATCGGTGACAACTTTGCAACCATGTGCCAAAATCTCAAACAGACCCCCCCCCCCCCCCCCTCCACCAGTTCATGGAGAGAAGAGATAAGCTTACAAATAAAAATGTATGTAGGTGCGGGGAAATAAACGACAGGTAACAGGGGATTATGATGGCTTTCTGTTTTACATAATGATTTTGATCTACACATGTTCATGCGCAATCTGCTTTGGAAATTATTTTTTTTCCCCCTTTGCAAATATAAAATAAAATCACAAGTTTCCTCCAGTGCTTTAAAAAAATTCTATCTAAATCGAGCATTCAAACTGGACTCCGGGACATGGATGGACCAGGCTGCACTTGTTGCGCTCCTGCAGAGACAGCAGCTATTTTTATCAGCCCGAGCGGCTGAGCCCAACCGAACCGAACCGAACCTTCTGCCACAAGCAGCAAAAAGACTCAAGGATAGTGCTGACTCAAATGGTTGTTCTCTGACGGTGAGAGAAGCTTCGAAATAGTGAACTCATAATAAAAAGATTGATTTTTAACATAAGACATTTGGATCTGTTTTATAAGAGCTGCTTTAAACCAAATGCGTTATTATCATTGATTCATTTTAAATAAACGGAATATTAATTTAGTTTTCTCTGGTTGGCTCTTGGAGACCTTTGCACTCTCACCGGGCCAAAGAAACTCTCCGACCCCAGTTACCCCCCCCCTGAGGCACTACGCTGTAGGAGTGAACTTTACCTCAGCCGTGGCCAGCAGGTAAGACGTCCACAGCAGGAAGTAACAAAGTGCGGTTCTCATCTCCCTTTAATTCAGAGTCAAACCCAAGCAGGAAAAATGCGCTGCTGCCGTGTAGGAGCCCCCCAGTCGCTCCTGGCTCCAGAGGATCCTCAACCATCCCCCCCGGGGAGGAAAAAAGAAGCGGTGAGAGCAGCTCACCGTGCTGTATCTGCTCAGAGCTGAGAGAATCAGAGAAAGCTGGAAAGTTGGTCCTCGCCGTTATTCACATCGGTCCAGCTGAACCAGCCCCGCGCTGCAGCACGACATGGCTCCTGAGGCGCGCGTGAGACAATTCCAAGAAACGAGCCAGGCGCGCGCTGCACTTGTCCTTCACCTCAACAAAAACGGGCTTCACGCTCTACCCCTGCACGCGGAGATGTTGCTCCTTTTCCTTTGAGGGGAAAGAATCGCATATAACTGCACAACTTTTTTTTTTCTCGTCTAAAAACGGACTAAGATACAAAAAGGTAATCCAAACTATGAGTGGGGGGAGAGTCATCCGCGTTGTGCTATCCAGAGCTGGTGTTGCAGCAGCGCGCGCAGGTCCTTCAGCTGTGCAGGACTCTGGAGTGAATGGTGTCAGCGCGCCTCTGAGCAGCTGAATATAGAGAGCCACAGTCTGCGCGCGTTGCGCCTCCCCTCGCTTTTGGGTGATCGTGCATCTTATTCAGTGAGGGAGGGGAGCTGGTTGGTGAAGCTGGATGACTTAAGACTCCTAGAGCACATTACCCACCCTCCCACACATCCATTCACCCCGTGTGAGTTTGTTTAAAACAGATTTGATCCACAGTCAATTCACAAAGAACATAAAAGCTAAAGGACAAGTCTCATCCCATTCTTCGCTCTAAACTGGATTCTAATCAGCCAGTTGGGACGGGAGTTTTGTCATCAAAAGTAACTAATTCATTTAGGGGAATAGAAAATGTATAAACCAAAATCAAATTCTGAAGGATATTTGAAGGACTGCTGGCCCAAACTTCTATGTTTTAATGTATGAACCGCAAAAGAAGTGTAAAAGAACCATGGTCTCTATGAGCATGCATCAGGACATGGTCTCTATGGTAACCACACATCCATCTGTTTGTCTGTCACTCCCTGACTACCAAGTTAATAAGAAAACCTCAAAGAGTTGCTGTGTAAAAACTTTGAGTCAGATGTTAAAAATTCTGCAGCAGAAGAAGGATGGATACACGTCTGAATATTTTAGTTGCTACAGTGTTGCAGATCTGACAAGTTCGACTTTTTTCTTGTAGTTTTGAAGATAATATTTTGAGCTATTGAAATTGAAGTCTGTGGAATTCGATTAACTTCATGCACTCTAAGGGATTTTAAGAATGTAAAGCCTTTAGTTGTGTGAAAGAAGATCAAATGCCCACATGCTGATGTATAATTGGTATGTGTACCATAAATAGTTGTGCAATATTTTGTTTGCAAAATCTTTTTTTTTTTTTTTTTTGGGGGGGGGGGGGGACATTTTAAATGTGTGACATAATTAAATGTTAGATGAATACTCCATCTGTAAGAATCATGCAACTTAAACAGTATCCTGTGTCAAAACCTTAAAATATATAAAGATGCTTGTTCAGACTTGAAAAGTCCAGTTTTCTACAAACCATTTCTTCTTTTAAACTTTAAATTACACTGGGCGGTACGTCTGAGCTATATCACTTCAACAATGGCAGTTTATTTTTTCCATGTTTCACCAATACTCCATTGAAATAATCATAATTTTCTTGCACCTTTTTTTTTATTGTTTTTTTGCAAATTTTGTCTCATTGTGCGAAGTCATAGTACACTTTTCTCAACCAAGCTACACATTTTGGTGTAAAATTCAAACGTTCTATTTATAAAGAGCTGTGTTCAAGACATACAACCAAAAAGCAGGATGGTAATAAGGATACTTTAATGCTTGGCACCTGTAAATACTTTGTATATCAAGTTCTCCAGTATTCAAAGTGGCAAAAACAAACAAACAAAAAATTAACAGTTCCAATCAGACAAATTAATTTATGAGCTAAATCTTTGAAACTCATAATATGCAACACCCCCTCCTTTTTTTTTTTTTTTTCAAAATCAAGTGGTCAAAACGGTCAGCATGAAAATAGGTTTAGGATTGATCGACTCTATTTCCTCAGGTGGCTGAGACGAGCTGGTCTGGGAAGCTCAGTCCTCACCTCCTTCTACAGGTGTGCAGTGGAGAGCATCCTGTGCTCCAGCATCAACGTGTGGCATGGAGGCTGCACAGCTGCAGAAAGAAAAGCTTTGCAGAGAGTGGTGAAGGCTGCACAGAAGTCTGTTGGAGTCAGCCTCCCCACCATCACAGACATCTACACCTCCAGATGCAGGAAGAGGGCCACCTGCATCATGAAGGACCCCACTCACTCAGCACACACACTTTTTGCCCCACTCCCCTCAGGCAGGAGGTTGTGGAGCATTAAATGTAGAACCACTAGACTGAGGAACAGCTTCTACCCTGAGGCTGTTAGACTCGTGAATCTCTAAATCACCATAATGCCACTTTAATTGGTGATATGTGACTTTATCTGTGCTGCTGATCTCTTGCCTTTAAGCTGTTGTATTCATACCCATCTGCTCACAACAGACTTATGTTCAGGCTGCTGTTTAATACATTATATATATATTTTGTATTATATATTATTTTGTATTATTATCATTTAGCGTATATCTTAGATCCTTGTATTCTGTTTCTTTTTTTTTTATACTTTAAATTTTTGCTAATTTTGGGTGTAACTGGAACCTTGAGTGCACAATTTTGTTCCACGTCATGTACCACACGTGATGCAAATGACAATAAAGAAACTTGAACCATGAATTGATGGCAATAACCTGATATCTTCTTCATAATGTGTTGTCCATTTGCAATTTGATGGTGTAGAGTGAAACAGTTCCTTCTTTTGGACACAGGAAGCAACTATTTAAACTGCAGGTTCATATATTCAACTGGTCCTGACTTGTCATGAAATCTGCTGATGGTCCAGGAGAAAAGCCCCAAGGCCCTGATGAAGGAGACACAGGAGCTGAGGCACAGACAGACAGACAGACAGACAGACAGACAGACAGACAGACAGACAGACAGACAGACAGACAGACAGATTATCGGTCAGGGGTGAGAAGCAGCAGGGAGCCACAGGTCAGTCAGCCAGGTGGTCCAGCATCCTGTCCATCAGGTGGACCAGTCAGCTCCGGCCTGAGGGCTCTGTGGCTGGAAACACTGCAAAGTGAAAGCACCAGGGCAGATGGCAGAGTAATGAACTTAACTATTTTAACGGGCCAGTGGAGCTGGTTTTAGGATGGTGCCAGTGCTGTAAAATGAATCAAACATTTTTACAACAAATTTCCCTCTGCTGAAGTAATTTATTGCATGCTGCTCCGATTGAAGCTTCTTTCTAAAATGGCATGGCTGCTCCCCAATGTTTCATTCTTCATTCTGAAGTACATGAAGCTGTTGGAGCATGAGATACTGCACTGTTGTCATGATGACATCACAGGTCAGCCTCTGTTTTTTTCTGGGACATCCCGTACGTTGCATGACTCATACTCGAAGGTGCGTTTTCTCAACATGAGGGGAAAGAGGGGGCTTAAAATTTTGATCTTCAGAGTTTTTGTTCTTGAATCTGAGACAGAAATGTGCAATGCTCGTGAAATGTAAAGATGAGAGGGTGTGATTTAATACATACTTAATATATAATACATATTTAATATATTGTATGCAAAGAACTAATTCCCTGAATATGTTCAAAAGCAAACCAAAAAGACTTTGTCTCTTCTGTTCCTTTTTCTGTATCAGATCACAAACAACATGTTTACTGGCAACTGAGGCCTGTGTACCTAACAACATTAACACCATTAAAACGTTTTATAGGTGCTGGTGTTCAGTTAATTTAACCATAAACTCTGCAGAGAGGGCACAGTGAGTAAGACGAGGACTCCCGTTTGTGCTGCATCGTTCCAGATGCAACGAAAAGGGCGAGACATTTTTTACAGAACATGTAAGACATGAGTTGCATGGCTTCTGAAGAACTGATGTGAACCGACTGGATAAAACATCAGTTTGAATAATCTATATTCATATTAGAAAGGGGTTATTATTTTAGTTATTTTGACCTTGACTTTTGTTTGTTTTGCTTGTTTTAGAACGACAGGAAAAAAACTTGGGGTAGCTTTTAGTGCATTGCAGTGAAGAGTCCATTTAAAAAGTTGCTATAAATCAACAAGCATAAAAATTTGAGGAATAAAAGAAAAGTTCACAAATGATTTTACAAAATTCAGAGGGGGAGGATGCTCTTTAATGGAAATTTGTTCTGTTATGAATTATGAGTTTCTGAATGTAAAATTTCTATCTCAGAAACTTTTACACAAGTATATTTCTACACAATGCGTTTCTCAAACTGCTAATGTTATACTTACTTCAGTATTAAAATACAGCGACATGCATGAACTTAAAAAAAATGGCTTGGCGTTTGGAGAAAGTACATCACTGGAGTTTTGTTTTTCACACCATTAACCTTTTAACAAATTTGGAGCATGTTTTAAGAAAGCTGTTCCGATGTGTGCCAGGCTTTAGTCAATGTCCTCTGTCTCAGTATAGTAACTGTTGGAAAAAACATTATTAACTCAAATCTCAGCTTGATCCCGGCACAGCTGCACTCTGAACAGGCAACAAAAGCAAAGAATCTCACACTTCAGTGTAGAGGACCATAAAAATATATCACAGGCAACAATAGAAACTCAGTGAACTGATAGCTGCATATCAGCGAAAGGTTTTACTTTCTCAACTGCTGTTCCCTTTGACTGAAAGCTTTTCCATATTATCCACTGGGTATCCCCGCTCTATGACACCTTATATTGCCAAGGATTGAGTGGACCGTGGAACAGATTGCCTTGCGACAGAGAAACAAACACACATCTTAACTTGATGCCCCTCCACCACCACCACGCAGCACCACCCAGCCTTATCACATGAGTCACCGTCTCAAGGAGCAGGCCCGTTGTAGACTTCAGAGCGATCTCTTTCGTTCTCCTCAGGGTAGAATTAGCCGTCGCTAATTTGAACCCTAATCAGCTCATCAGTGTTCATGATGACAAAGGTGATGCCATTAGTGGGTTGTGTCCTGATGTTTTTAGATATTTTACAAGGGCTCTTTTAATGTACAAATTAG